ACAGGAAAAGATTTAATTCGTCCGATCTGGATCTGTCGAATCAAATATCTACGTATCTGAACTGTACGGATAATCTGCCCGTGTATGGGGCGCTATTGTCGGCACTGCGTTTCTTTCCTCGCAAATACTAACAGTTTTTGATCATTGCCCAATGTGATTTTTCAGTGGATTTATCGTCTACCTTAACAGGAACCGCTCTGTCTAGCATCGTGGATAATCCGGATGCGTTGCAGCAGCTGCAAGACCACCTGCCGCCTATTGGGACCGCTTCTCAAGAGGCCCTGAAGACCACATTGAGTTCTCCTCATTTTCAGCAGGTAAGTAAAGCGCTAATCCACCAACAAGCTCTCATTGTTGCATCTATGCTGCGATCTAGGCGGTCTCGCAGTTTTCTAGCGCGTTGGAATCGGGCCAACTCGGTCCGGTCGTATCGCAGCTCGCGGTAAATCCCGAAGCTGTGGCGGCCGCCGCTTCAGGCAACATGCAAGAGTTCGTGAAGGCACTGGAAAAAGCTGATGCCAAGGAGAAGGCCGAATCTAAAGACGAGTCCAAAAAGAAGGACGATGACGACGAGATGCAGTTGGATTAGTGCCGTGTTCTGACCGTTGTCCGCCCGCTATGAGTTCATATTACTTTATGAAAATTAGCTTGATGGGTTTGCTGCGAATTGGGACACTTTAAAAGGTTGCAATGGCAAACAAAGTCAGTCTGTAATTTGTCAAAAATGTCAATAAAAATATAGTTTGGGTTTGCTTGATGGTGCGTTTTGCAAGTCTGTTTCACCTGCCTGTCACTCTGTGATAATGGTTTTATTTGCAAGAACTCATACACCCCTAATACTCTGTGGGACATTGAATTTGACTATAATACTGACAAATTGATAAACTTAACAAACTACTCACAATCAGTCGCATCGTCTCGATTCTTTCTCTTAAACAGCATCTCCGGCTCTAGACTGGGGACATGGGCAGTGGCCGCGCGCTTCTGGCAGCTTCCCACTGAAGCCGCATGCTCAGCCTCGTCCACTTTAGTGGTGGTAAATCGTGCGTTCCTGGTAGCCTAATGCAAAAACAGCGATTACCTTGTTCGCCAACTGCCTGAAGCCTTACCAGTTCCGTGGTTAAAGACGTTTTCCTCGGCATGCTGCCCGACGGTCTGTGAGTTTCGCTGCAGGGCTGCGACATTTGGGTGACAAACTGAGGCCTGCCCCTCCATGGCTCGTCCTGTCTGGCCGTGCTGGCATCTTGGAGGTTTTTGCTCCGCATCGGTACATCGCTAGCTCTTCTAAAGGCGCCTGCAGCTCCCAGTTGACTGTTGCTCACTTTGGACACGCGGGGAGGCTCGATGTACCCTTCCCTAACCAGAATGGAGCCCGGATTCCCGGTGAAATCCGTGCGATCCTTTTCGACTTTCTTAATCGTCCCCGTATTGAGGTTGCGCCCCAAGTCGATGTTGTCGCTCTTGGTGATGTCAAAGAACCGCTCCTTGCTGGTGGTCCATTTCTTCGTTCCCACATTGGCCATGTTGCAGTTGGACGCTTCCTTGTCGAAATCTTTCACCAAGTCCCTGATGTCGATGGTGTCGTCGGTTTTCCTGCTGTAGAGCGACTGAGCCCGCTTGATGTTGGACACCTTGCGCCCCTCCAGGTCGTTGCTGTAGAGGAGCACGTTGGCGCTAGATGGCACAATGGGGCCCGCATAGCCACCCAAGTTGGACCGCAGCGAGTTGCAGTTGTCCACCATGGCACTGGTGATGGTGCGCGTATTGTCGAAGTCAGGAGGCGGCGAGAAATCGCTGTGCTCCATTTCGGAGTCGTGGGAAACGGGCGTCAGCTCACCACTCTCCTCTGAAAATTGCTTTGGTCGATTTGGCACCCATGGGCTGCAGCAGTTACCTGGGCGACGCTGCATAGTAGCGTAGTAGTCGCAGAACTCTAGCGATCCGCAGCTGTCGCGATCGTAGGCGCCTAACGTCATCCCCAAGCGGCCCAAGTCGTCCAGTCCAGGCGCAGTGGGGAATATTCGGCTCAGGTCGTCAAGGTTCATGCTAAAACAGGCCATTCTATTGGTTACCAAGGGCATTGATAGTTACAGTTGACCAAATCTGCGCACGTGGCAGTTGAAATTGCAAGCCTACGACTGCTACTCATGCACGTTTTTACCTTTCTGTTGGAGTTTCTGAACCAGAGATTAGTAGAGAGATCGCCGATATGCAGCCGTAAGCTAGCGTCATCATGCGGTTTTCTCCCGAAACAAACACACAAGTTAGAAGTAGTGTAGGGGAGGTAAGTAGTGGGGCCGTGCGCCTCAGCAGTCAAACGCCAGCCGATTTGCGCTGGTTTCCAACGGTCAATAAGTGTTGATATATATATATATATATATATCAAACTGACATCGTGAGCAACGCTGTGGATTTGGAGCTGAATGCTCCGATATACGGATAACTACTCGAATTCAATGGATTTTTATTGAAAATCCGTGGGACTATTTAAAACTGGTATTTCCCACATTATCACATTTCCAACAACACCTTGTATACTTTTATAAAATACATTACATTATTGTATGAATAGTCCGTACTCCCTATAATCCGAACTACATACTCTATAATCCGAATTGATCAATTGTGTAAAATGATATGATATGTATAATCTGAACACCTGAATTTTGGTATTCGATCTGCTCTGCGCCGTTTAATTGTTTTCAGTACGCTGACGGATGTATGTATTAAACATCGTAAAAGATTGCTGCAAGGTACTTTTACAAGATGAAACATTTTACAATGTTGGTGAAAAGTCATGGGGTCAACTTCTTTTGAGACCTCTGACTGGGTAATTTACAAAAAGAAATACGTGATCTAGTCGAATTAGTGAACAGAGTGAATCGTGCTGGTGATGCGATAGATAAAACAGAAGTTGAAGAATGGGTGTTAAACAAAATT